TCACCAGAGCCCCCGAAGGGGTCAGCTTCGGACACAGGAGCAGAAGGCTGGGTGCGGGCGGGGGAGCCGGAGGGCCTGGGGTGACGGCCGCACGTCTTCACCCATGCCCTCGGTGCTGCTGGGATGTACGCTAAGAAAAGGCTCACTTGGGGTTTTAGGGTGTGGATTTCACCACAGTTAAAATGACGTAAACAAGCCGAGCATGGGATGCCTGGCCTCCATCCCAGCCCTCAGGAGGCTGAGGCAGAAGCATCTCAAGTTCAAGCCCAGCTGGGGAGTTCAGGGACATAGTAAAACCTTGGCTCAAAATGAAAGATGGAAAGGGGCTGGGAACGTAGCTCGGTGCTGCAGCCGGTGGGATGCGCAGGGAGCGGGATCTCCCTGCCGGCCCGGGCACCAGGTGGCCTTCCTTAGCTGTGGTGGCTGCGCCAGGACACTGAGGCCCTGGAGGAGGAGGTGGCCCGGCTGCTGACCCTGTGCCTTGTGACCTGGGCCACTTCCCCCGGGTCCTCACCTGTGGGCAGTTGTCCCTGGAGGCGGGATCATGTCCAGGCCTGCCTGGGGACGGCAGGTCTCGGTGTCCTTGTGGCGGCAGGGACCTGGCCGGAGGGCACCTGAGGATCAGGTCCCACTGCTTCCCTCGCTGTGGCTGAGGGCGGGCGCTTGGCGGGCTCGTGAGCGTGGCACGCTGAAGGGACAGGCGGGAAATGTCCGGTGTCGGGGGACCTTTGTGGACCTGAGATGTGAATTTCACGTTCTTTTTGTGTAGTGTGAAATGGTGTTTTCCTTAAAGATAGAAGGCTAGGCACAGCGGCACGTGCTTGTGATCCCGGCCCTCAGGAGGACGAGGCTGACCTGAACTGCCAAGTGAGACCTTGTTTCCAAAACACCCCACAAAAACTGAAAGGTGTAGGAGCTTCAGTGGCTGCTGGGCTGACAAGGAGCAGGGATCAGAGTGGGGGCTTTGGGGGGACACCCATGCTTGAGCCCCAGGCGGGGCTCAAACTTGCATCCTCCTGCCTCAGCCTGCTGGGCCTGTGCCTTTTGGAAATCAGTGGTTCCCCAAATCTGTGGACCTCAGTTCCCTGTGGGAGGAAGAGCCCACGGCAGTCCTGCCCCGAGGCTGTGGGCTGCACAGAGGCGGCCGCGGCTGTTTCCCATGCTCACTGTTAGGCAGCGCCCAGGGCCTTGTGTGAGTGGAGCGAGGCTCAGCCATAGGGCTGCACCCCTGCCCCTGTGGGGCGTTTTGGGCTGGCAGCAATGTGCACCCGCTCCCGGGTAGCTCGGATGGTGCGGGTGCTACGCTAGGCGTGGTGGCGCACACCTGTAATCGCGGCACTATGGGAGGCAGAGGCAGGGGGATCACCCATTCAAGTCCAGCCTGGGAAATCTGTTGACTGAGGGATCTTAGTACAGTCCCCAGAACTGCAAACAACAATGACACAAACAAAGCTGCAGATGTTTCCTGCTGTGCTTAGCAATCGGGGGGAGGTGTTTCTGCATTTGTAGGGCACTGGGTCTGTGTCTGTGCAACTCTGTTGGCCTCCTCCTCATGGTCTCGTGGTGGCTGCCACAGCACCACACATCATCATACCCTCACACAACATCCTTCAAAACCAGAAGAGAGGGATATAGCATCAAGAGGACCTTAGGTGGTACAGGAGGTGCTCTATGTCCTCTCTTACTTTGTGCGTGGCCTGGCACCAGCGGGGTATGCCTTGGTCCCTGGACTTTCTCAGCACGTGAGCCAGGTGACCAGCAGCTGGGAGCAAATGAAGGCAGGCGTGCGTTTGTGCCCTCGGCGTGTGTACCAAGATCTAGAGCTGTCTGCAGGGTAGACAGCTCGGTCAGCAAGTCCAACACCGTGTGACCGCCCTGGCATCCACTTGAAGAGAGCGGAAGTCTCAGTCTGAGGGCTTCTTCCTGGTGGAGAGGGCATTGGGAAGGTGTGGTGGTTTTGTTCGTTTGAGACAGGGTCTCCCTATGCAGCCCAGGCTGACCTTGAACACATGGCAATCCTCCTGCCTCAGTCTCCCAAGTGCTGGGATCTTAGGGGTGTGCCACCTTGCCCAGCTTTAGTGGTTTTTAGGAATTTATTCTTTGTTTTGAGGCAAGGATCTCACTGTGCAGTTCAGGCTGGCCTTGAACTCACTACGAAGCCCACGCTGACCTCGAACTTGCGGCAGTCCTCCTGCCTCAGCCTCCCAAGTGCTGAGATTACAGGCGTGCACCACCATGCCCTGCTTTTAGGAACATATTCTGAGGCATTTCTCACAGTCATAAACAGGGGAGCAGAGGTGGCAGGGCTTGCTGAGCTGCAGCCCCATGGGCAGGAGCCAACCTCCGGGACAGAGGGGGCGGAGCTGTGAGGGGTCTGAGCTCTGGGCTTGGCTGGAGTGTGGTGCGGCGCGCACTGGTGTCCGTGTCCCCGTCGGGCCCGGCCTGGTGCTTCCTGGGAGCCTGAGGTCCCGGTCACCCCGGCCTCTGCGGTCCCAGCCCTGTCCTGGGGGCCTTCAGGCGTGGAGCTGCTTCGGTCCAGTGCTGCGCAGGTGGCCCCGGGGCCTCAGGGTGGGGCTCTTCTTCGTGCTCTGTGGCCAGGGCGGGGCCGACCGTGTCAGAGGTCTGAGGGGCAGCGGCGGAGGAGGAAGGGACTTGCTGGGAACAAAGGGCCCACCGGACACTCAGCAGCCGCCTCCCCTGCCCACAGGGCCGTCCTGTTTCTCCTGGGGCTGAAACACAACAGGATTTGAAAGGCAGGCGGCGTCCTGGGCGTGGCCTCACAGGGCGGCATGGGCCACCTGTCCCCCGCGCACCGCCTGGCTGAAGAAGGGGCGCCCCGAGGCCGGCTGATGTCACACTGATGTGCTGCTGAGGTCCTGGGGTGCAGGGGCTGGGGCAGGAAGCCCCAGGGTCTGAAGGGGCACAGGCTGCATCAGACCCCAAGGTGCCCGTGTCTCACCCGGGGACCCTGTGGATTTGGGACCTTGAGGGGCAAAGGGGCTTTGCAGGTGCGAGGACGTCTGGGTCTGGAGAGGAGATGCCCCAGGTCCTCAGCCGCCTGGGTGGGCGGGGGCGGAGGGACAGACGTAACAGCTCGGGGCTCCCTCTCGCCGCTCTGACGCGCCCCTGCCCGTTCTCCTCTTCATACCCAGCTCCGACACCCCCAGCCGCCCTCCCGCCCGGCGGAGCCAGGCCCAGCGCCCTCCCCACCCCGCGGGCGGGGCCGGGACAGTCAGAGTTGACTCTGGTGGCTGAAGGCCGTGCTCCCCGCGGCCTGTTATCTAATCCGCTGCTGGTCCCGGTGTCCCTGGTCTCCGGGGCCACTGCTGACCCAGATGGTCAAGGACGGGCAAAGTCTGCCCTGCTGGTTGGCGGTGGGACAGGCTCACCCCCAGGTGGCCACGGGTCATTTCCTGGTGCCCAGGGCCTGCAGACCCATCCCTGCTGGCCTCACCCCGGCCGGAGCAGATGAGCGGGGATGGAAGAGTGTGCCACAGCCCGGCCGAGAGGGTCCTTGTCCCTGTCACCCGCTGTGCCGGCCCCATTTGCCCCCAGAACCGGGATGAGCGGGCGTTGGTGGGTACCGCGTGGAGGCCGGGAGTTGAAGGCGTCTCAGGGCCCAGCCTCCTGTGCCGAGGACCCGGATGTGTCCTGGGGACGGGGTCGCCTGCCCTCTTTGTCAGCCTGCCTGGCCCCTCCCAACTGCCTCCGCCCTCCTCGCTGAGGACAACATCCCCCTTGCGATCTGCTCCCTCCCGCATTCTGCGAGATGCTGGGCTTTGGGTTTTCTTTTTGCTCCTGTCTGTGCTGGGGTCTGGACCCAGGGCCTGTGCCTGCCTGACAACCCTCCACACTGCGCTACACCCGCGCCGTTTTTATATCCACACAGGGTCTTGCCAAGGTGTCCAAGGTGGGCTCAAACTTGGAATCTTCCTGCCTCAGCCTTCAGAGTAGCTGTGATTACAGGCATGTGCCACCACGCCCATCCTGTTTGTGTTTTTAAGCAGCACTAGTAAGATGTAACTCGCGGGTTGCGTGGCTCACCCCTGGAAGCGCGCACCTGGCGGCTGTGGTGCTCCGTGCAGTCCTCTGCCGGCCCCACCCGCTGGCCCAGCACCGTCCAGCTGCGGCCAGCTCCGCTGGGCTGGTCAGGCCTGGCCTCGAGGAGGACGCCTGTTGTGGGTGGGGTTTGAACCTGGGCCTTGGGGCTCAGAGTCCGCCCTGGCTGCGCCCCTCGGTGTGGAGAGGTGCCTTCCACGAGCTGGGCCCTGTGAAGGAGCGGTGACGCCCCTGCGCTGTCGTTTATCTCCCACGCCCCCAACGGGCCGTCTCCGCACGGCCGGGGCCTCAGGTGGCCCAGCTTGCGCCCCCTGTCACCGAGTGTCTCAGACTCAGCTCACCGAGAGGGAAGGCTCTGTGGGGCTTTGCCCCCACCCCCCGGCTCTCGAGAGGCCACACCCACCCCTTGAAGGCCGCAGGCTGATGTGGGAGCCCCGAGGAGACTGGTCCTGTCTCAGGACCTCGTGTTTGGTAGGTGCAGGTGTATGTCCTTGTCCCTAACTTTCCTGATCATTCTGGGTGATCTCTCTCTGTTTATCCATCCATTCACATATCCATGCATCTATCCGATCATACAATCATCCACCACTCACCCACCCATATATCTAGCCATCCACGCATCCATGCACATATCCACCCACTTACCCACCCATGCATCTGCCCACCCGCCCACCCATCCGTCCCTGCATCCATCCATCCACCACTCACGCACTGGTCCACACCCCTGCCCAGCCCTGTTCCAGGCACTGGGTCAGCAGTGACCGAGCCCGGGCGCTCCCGTCTGGTGCTGGCCCTGGCTGGGGCATCTGTTTGCAGTGCTGGGACCATCTCAGGCCCGGCTCATGTCTGAGGAAGGTGTCGCTGCAGAGTGCCCTTGCTGGGAAGGGTGGGCCCGTCTGGCAGGGAAGCAGGGAGGGAAGGGCCAGCGGTGTCGCCTGCAGAGGGCCCTGCAGTGCATGGCCGGAGGGTTGGGCGACATGGTGAGCTGGGGACGGGGCAGAGCTGGCCCTGTGGGCTGTGGTTAGCAGTGTGGGGGGAGCAGCCCGGGAGAGAATCGGGCCCAGCTCACGTGCCTCCTCCAGGAAGGCTTGGACCCTTCCTGCCCTCAGATGGCTTGGTGCCTCTCCGCAGGCCCCACCACGCCTCAGTTTCCCGATGTTCTGTGTGGAGATGGTGGTGGCTGCCCCACGGGCCAAGGCGCTGGCCAGGAGGGGCGCGGTGCGGTGTGAACGGCCTGGCCCAGGGCAGCGGGGGGAGGCCTGGCCTTCGCCTTGGCAGAGCCTGGCTTCCTGCCCCTCGGTGCCGCGTGGCTCACACTCGGTGCGGTGTCACCAGCCCTGCGTGCAAGGGGACTGAGGTCCACGGAGGCCACCGCAGGGGGCCTGGACCCAACCTGTCCGACTGTGGCTTCGGGCTGGCTGGGGACAGTGGGGGTGACTGTCCTTGTCCTGGAAGGCTGTGTTCCATGACAGCGGAAGGTGACGCAAGCTGCCCTGGCCGCCTGGCCTTGGGACACCGGCTGTATCTGATGGGCTGGTTGTGGGGAGGCTTTTGTTCTCGCTGTCGGCCTGCAGCCTCCTGAGCAGCCACTGCCCCGGGGCCTTTGCACTGGCTGGGGGCTCCATGGGGTGCACCCCACCCCCGCATGTCCGCATCTCTTGCCTCACATCGGTGTGTGTTTCGGTTTGAGTCTGGGTTTTTCCATAGGAAGAATCGAAGTGTCTACCGCCCCCACCCCCCGGGTGTCTTGGCGCTGTCTTGGAGGGTGGATCCGGCCTCGCCGCCGGGTGCCTGCTGTCCCTGTCCTGGCCGCGGCCCCTCACCCGTGCCCACCCTGCAGAACGTGCGCGTGGACCCGAGCAGCCTGTCCTTCAGCATGTGGAAGGAGATCCCCGTGCCCTTCTACATGTCCGTCTACTTCTTCGACGTGGTCAACTCGGACGCGGTTCTGCAGGGCGCGGCGCCGGAGGTGCGGGAGCGCGGGCCCTACGTGTACAGGTGAGGCGGGCCGGGGAGGCGGCGGAGGCGACTGCGCCCCAGCCCCGCTGCCCCTGACCACCCCGCGGCCCTCGCACGGAGGAGCAGGGGGCCTGGCGGGGGCTGCGGGGTCGCCATGTGGACAGGGATGTGGGGCAGTGAGGGACAGCGGGGGAGGCCGGGGTGGGCGGTGGCCGTGCGGCTGGCGGGGGGCAGAGGGAGACAGTGCGGGGACTGACAGGCAGGAGGGGGCCGCCCCAGGGTCACCGCCGCCCAGCCAGGGCCTGGCTGCAGCCGGGTCCCACGGTGTCCTTGCCACTGAGCCGCGCCCCGCCCGCCCCCAGGCAGTTCAGGCACAAGAATAGCATCTCCTTCAACAACAACGACACGGTGTCCTTCCGGGAGAGGTGCTCCTTCCAGTTCCAGCCCGAGAGGTCCCGCGGCTTGGAGAGCGACCACATCATGCTGCCCAACATCCTGGTCCTGGTGAGGCGTCCCCGCCTGCCCGGCAGTCAGACCCGGGCGCCCGGCCCTGCCGGGGACAGGCCCCAGCCTCCCAGAGTCCCAGCCAAAGTCCTGCTCCTCCTTCCCGGCGACAGCTCGGGGGCGCCGGCCGGGCCCCTGCAGGGCTGTGGCGTGTGAGTGGCAGTGCCCACGGCGGGAAAGAGCCCCACGAGAGCGGGGGCAGGGCAAGCTCAGGGGCAGCGGGGACCGGGTGGCCCTCCGGGGCCCTCGTCCTCCAGCAGCCGCCGTGATGCCTGCCGGGCCTGCAAGCAGCGGCACTCGGGGCTCCCTGGGGTGGTCCCAGATGCCACACACCCGCAGGAAGGGGCTGGGCGGCGACACCCCCAGGGCATGGCGAGGCCCTCTGTCATCCATGCCCCCAGGCCCTGCAGGGGTCACGCCTGCCCAGCCAGGGTGGTTCTGGGATCAGGGAGGGCCCGGGGTCCGCTTGAGGGTGGGTGGAAGGCGGTGGCCGCCGCAGCCACCTGACCGTCCGTGCCTGCAGGCCGCCTCGACCATGATGGAGCACCGGCCCATGAGCCTGAAGCTGCTGATGACCTTAATGCTCACCACCATGGGGCAGCGCGCCTTCATGAACCGCACGGTAGGCGAGGTCATGTGGGGCTACGACGACCCGCTGCTGGACCTCATGAACAAGTACTTCCCCGGCACGCTGCCCTTCAAGGGCAAGTTCGGGCTGTTTGCGGGGGTGAGTGACCCGGAGCTCCTCCTTGGCCATGTGGCGTGGGATCCCGCAGCCTGTGCAGGGGGGGGGGGCAGGTCCTGTGAGCAAAATAGGGAATTACTGGAAGCTGGGTGTGGTGGGGCATGCTCGTAATCCCAGCTCCTCTGGAGGCTGAGGCAGGAGGATTTCTGGGTTTGAGGCAAGCCTGAGCCACGTAGTGATGTCCTGAGGGCTTGTCTGAAAATGAAACAGGACGGGCTGGAGCTGGAGCTCAGCGGTCGGGGAGCACTTACCCAGCACATGCGAGGCCCTGGCTCAGCCCGTGGTACTACAAGTCAGAGAGAACAATGGGAGTTACTGGTCCGAGGAACTGGCCTGCCTAGGGCTGGATTTGGGAGCCCCTGACCCGGGCTCGGATGGGGCTGGGACTGAGGGAGGAGGTGGAGGCCTGGCAGAAGGCGGGGGAGGGGCCGCTGAGGAGGCGGATCACAAATGCCACCCACTGTGGTGCTCAGGCTAGCAGCGATAACCCCGGAGGATCCTGATGAGGCGCCTGAGCCGAGATCGAGTCCACCTGGGGTTTGATCCCTGACCTCTGACCCCTGACCTTGGCTCCCCCCATGCAGGATTAATTGTCAGAGCTACAGGGGAGGCTGGGCCTGCCGCCTTTTAGGTGGAGAGGGCACCTGGTGTGCCGTCTCTGGCAGGCCGATGTGTTGTCGGTGCTCTGCTTGCAGTCGTTCCTATCAGCCATGCGACAGTGGGAGGTTGGCATTTGGTGCTTTTCTGGTGTCCCGGGCACTGTGCTCACCCCTCTTAGTGCTCTGGGCGCCCTGTGTGCTGAGCTCAAAGGTATGATCCTCCTGCCTCAGCCTCCCGGAGAGCTGGGACGACAGGCACGCAGCACCATGTTTTAAGTGTGGCTGTGGACATGGTCACCCCTTCGAGTTGGGAAGGCAAAGGCCGCGAGTGAGGTGGTGGCCTGGTCCCCCAGCGCCCAGGGATGGACGGCGCTGTGACAGCGCTGTGGGCTGGATGCCCGGGTCTCCCGCTGCTGTCCCTGGACTCAGACCCGCTGTCCCCACCGTGCCCAGATGAACAACTCGGACTCCGGGCTCTTCACCGTGTTCACAGGGGTGAAGAACCTCAGCCGCATCCACCTGCTGGACAAGTGGAACGGGCTCAGCAAGGTGAGGGGCCGGGCGGGCGTCTGCGGGGCTTGGGCCGGGGCGCGCGGCCGCTCACCTCGGCTGGTTTCCTCCCTCGGGTCCTCGTTGACGGGAACTGGTTTGAGTGTTTCACCAGGGCGCAGGAAGCCGTTCCCATTAAAGACTAAACAATGGGCACGGGGCTGCGGTCCCTCTGTGCGCTGACGCTGCTGGCCGCCCGCTCCCCGGCTGCCGAGGACGCGCGGTGCCAGCTCCAGATGTGTCCTTGGCGCTTTCACCCCTGCACATACCTAGACGACTTGGAGTGAGGTGGGGAGTTCCTCCTTGGGGCATCACGGAGTCACATTATGTGCCCTGTCTGTGTGTGGCTTGCTGCTATCACCCGGTGGCCTATTCCCAAGACGTGTGACCCCCGCCCCTGGGCGAGGCCACTCCCCACAGCCCACAGTAACCCTTCACGGATGCCTCCGGTGTTCATGTGTGCGCTCACTCTTAGAAAGCTTTCCGTGCCCATTAGGTAGAAAATGAGCTTTGGAAGTCGGGTGTGGTGGTGCACACCTGTGATCCCAGCACTTGGGAGGCTGAGGCAGGAGGATCAGCACGAGCTGGATGCCAGCCTGGGCTGGCTACATAGTGAGACCCTGTCTCAAAATACAAGAAAAGAAAAAATGAGCTCTGGATCCAGTCTCCCTCCCCAGACAGCAGCCCCAGTCCTTCTGTTTTGAGGTTCCCTGGCAGCAGCTACCACGCGATTTTAGTTGACCGACATTGGTTCCAGTTTTGTCTGTTTTTCTAAGACGGAAATCTTTTATTGGCCTGACTTGCGTACCTATTGGCACGGTCAGGCAGCACATACCCATCCGCCCGGCTCCCGTCCTCCCGTCCTGGGAGTTCCTGGATCGCCTCAGGAGGGAGGAGCGCCGGGGCAGGCACAGCTGGGGGATGTACAGGGTGGGACCTGACAGTGGCTCAGGGGCATACAGAAACCGCGGCGCTGGTTGCTGGCCCAACCAGATAAAATGTCCATCTGGGTAGGGGGAGGCCGCCACCCCGCGCAGGTCCTTCTGCCCTTGCCAAGGTGCGAGGGGTCAGAAGGAGAGTGTCCCCCAGAGGCTCCCTGCCCTTCGTGCCGTCAGCACCTCCCGCACGCGGTCTCCAGCTTCCTTAACGCTCCGCTCCAGGCAGGACGTTTCCTGCTCTAGTTCTTTAATTTTTTCTTCTGCTGTTTTCCGTTTCTCGAACAGCTGACTGTGAGTTACCTCCTTGGATGAGGACTAAACATTCTCCCTACACCGTCACGCTGCTAGTCCCGTCCGCCAGTCCCGCTGTCCGTATCTGTAGATGTGCGTGCTTTCTCGTTCTGCTCAGCCGTGCAGTCTGAACCTCTGCAAGCTTTGCCTTCTGTTGAGTGCCAGTGACTTTGGCTTGAAGCTCCGCGCAGGCCTCTGCGACTCCAGATCCAGGGGCGCCGCCACGCTGCTGTGCTCTGTGCGCCTGCGCGTTTGATTTGTCTGCTTTTAGGAGAGTCTCTTGACTTCCTCTGGGGGCGAGCAGACGCGGGTGGCAGCCCCTCTGTACAGCGGACGTAACAGTTACACGCTCGGGGCTCCTGCTTAAGGTGCCAAAGCTGCACTGGACGTTGTGCGTCTACGCAGCCTGGTCCCGGCCCCCGGCCAGGCTGGGCGGTGAGTGGCCACGCCACGCAGCCGTGCCTCCAGCGCCTCCCTCCGCAGGTCAACTACTGGCACTCGGACCAGTGCAACATGATCAACGGCACCTCCGGGCAGATGTGGCCGCCGTTCATGACCCCCGAATCCTCGCTGGAGTTCTACAGTCCTGAGGCCTGCAGGTAACCGCACTGATTCAGCCTCCCCGGCCCCTGGGATGCCGGCAGAGTCTGCTTCCTGGGGGCTCGGGACCAGCACCTGACGGCTGGTCGTCAGAGTCCTCCGTCTCAGTGCCATGTCGGATTCTCGTTGGCCGCACGGTGGGGCACCGCACTCCAGCGTTGCTGCATTGGCAAAGCCCAGAGGCTGCTGCCGCGGGTGCTGGGGCCTCTGTGGGGTGGTGAGGGGCGCAGGGCAGGAAGTAATCAAGGTCGCGGGGCTGTGAGATGAAGGCAGGAGGTGGCCCTGGCCACGGGCTGGGGACAGAGGTGCCTCCTGGAGCCGTGCTGGCCATCACCGACCCTGTGCCCTCCTGGCCACTCCGGAGTGTCCTTTATGGGGCACTCCCTGGGGTGGCCCTGACCCTGCGCCTCCCTGCAAGCTCAGGGAGCCCCGCTGTGTGCCAGGCAGGGAGATGAGCAAAATCCCGGTGCCTGGGTGATCGTGTGCTCTGGGGCACCAGCTAGGCCTGGGACGTCAGCGAGAGCGTCGGGAGCTCTGCGTGGGGCCACTTTGGAAAACAGGATATTACTTTATTTTTTTGTGCTCACCTAACCTGGAGTAGGAGACAGCAAAGCGCATCCCCCATCCCCTCCTGGGCCACCCCCCCATGACCTATGACCTCCAGCTGGGCCTGCCTCTTAAAGGGCCCCCACCCACCCCCAGCACTACCCACACCTTGAACAGGGCCCTTTCCAGCTGCCTGCCTGGCTTCTGTCCTGCCCACACGTGCCTCTGGGTACCTTCTTTCTGACCACGTGAGAGCCACTGTGAGACAATGTACCCTTCACGCCTAAATACTTCTGTGGGTGGTTTTGTGTGTGTGTGTGTGTGTGTGTGTGTGTGGTGCTGATTGAGCCTGGGACCTTGCACATACTGGGCGAGTGCTCTACCACTGAGCTGTGTCCCCAGCCCTCCTCCGTGGGTGTTTTCTAAAAAACAAAGACATTTTCTTACACAATCACAGGTATTAAAATGAGAGCAGTTAACAGTAACACCATACCCTGTCTAAACTGCTACTGTCAACACAACTATAATGCAAGACACGTGTAATTTTTTTTTTTGAGATGGTTCTTCCTAGGTTGCCGAAGCTTTTCTCAGGTGATCTTCCTGCCTCGGCTTCCCCCAGTAGCTAGGACTGCAGGTGTGCACTGCACCTAGCACGGGTACAACGTTCAACTTTCTAGCAGCGGCGTTACAATGGTGTATTTGACTTGACCCATTGGATTGATAGTACTCTTATTTCAAACATTATTGGAGAGTTTTTTGGTTGCTGAGAGACCGGGGTGTGTCAACACCAGCCACACACCTGCGCTCTGACGTGGCCCAGGCTGAGGGCTGCACAGCCTTGTATGATTTGCTGGACAGAGAGCCCACACAGTCTGGGTTTCCCAGCAGGCGCAGGGGTGGAGGGCGGACAGGGCAGTGGAGAGGAAGAACTGCGTCTACCTTGTGAGGCCGCAAGGGGACAGTGTTTCTGGCCCTGGCCAGGCCACAGCACATATGAAGGTCCTGGGGCAGCAAGGAGCAGTTCTGAGCAGCGGCCAGGGGCCTGTGGGTTCAGGGAGGCGGGGCGGGAGTGGTGGTGGGGCAGGGTGAGGGGAAGAGCAAGGCTTGTGCACAGTGAGGACAGCACATTCCAAAGGGAGCCGTGCGCAGTCGCCCCTTGGGGTCCTGGGGATCAGTCTGAGGACCCCACAGGTACCAAAATCCCCAGCTGTTTGAGTTGCTTTATCAAGTGGAGGCACGTGTTCACATGGCCTGCACACGTTCTCACGCAGGCTCTGCCCCCTCTCTAGACGGCGTGTGGTAGGAACGCAGGGTGGCTGCGTGCGTGTGAACAGCTGCTGCTTGTTTAGAGAGCAAGGAGAAGGAGAGGTCTGAGCACGCGAGCCGGGCGGGGCTGTGCAGGTGGGCACAGCCGGGTCCCCCACCTGTCTGCCTCCCACTGCAGGTCCATGCGGCTCGTCTACCAGGAGCAGGGCGTGTTCCAGGGCATCCCCACCTACCGCTTCGTGGCCCCTAACACCCTGTTCGCCAACGGCTCCGTCTACCCGCCCAACGAGGGCTTCTGCCCATGCCTGGAGTCTGGCATCCAGAACGTCAGCACCTGCAGGTTCGGTATGTGTCACCCCGCAGGCCCGGGCAGCCGCGGGGGCCACCCGCGGCCTCTGCACTCTCAATGATCCCATCAGGCTGGAGATAAGGAGAGCAGCTCGGAGATAAGGCTCCGGGGGAAATCCAGCGTGCTTATTAGAGGCCGCTGCGATAAACTGCCCGAGGAGCATCAGGTTGTTATCGCGGGGTCTGGAGTCCGGGGCAGGCGAAGGTCCAGGCGCTGCCGTGCGTGTGAGGCGGGGGTGGGGGCCGGTGGACTTCTCCAGCTGTGGGAGACACCTGTGCTCCCCAGCCCTTGGCTCTGTCTCTGGTGCCAGCGACACTGTGCCCCTCTGAGGCACTGCCATCCCCGGCTCCGTTTTGAGGACCCCTGAGACCCTACCGGCCCACCCAGTAACACAGGATCCAAAGTGCCGACCCACAGCCTTTGCTCCTCTGTGCTACGTGAGCCCCCAGGCCCGCTCCAGGGACACCTTGGAAGGGAGAGGTGTGGCGGGAAGGGCCTTCCCTGGCTGAACGTGGCCAGCCGTGGCCCACGAAACCCTCTGCTGCCTGGAGGCTGGGTGAAGCGATGTCACCTTCAGAAGCCACTCGCTTTGTCGCACTGGCCACATTTCCGACGCTTGCTGCCCACGCGTGTGCACTGACCCCATGCTGGAGACGGCAGGGGCAGGCCGTTCCCGCCTGGCCTCTGCGCCCCCTCTTTGGGTCTTTTCCGAGCCACCCCATCCTGGAGGCCCCTCCCAGCTCCCCCGCCAGGTGCCCTCTGTTACTTCATCTTTTTAAAAAATATGTTTTCTTTTTTGGGACCAAGGATTGAACCCAGGGCCTTTCCACTGAGCTACATCCCCAGCCCTTTTTATTTTTTAATTTTTTTACTTTGAAACAGGGTCTCACTAAGTTCCTCAGTTGTCCAGGCTAGATCTAAACCTGTGACCCTCCTGTCTCAGCCTCCCAGAGTGCTGGGAGGACAGCTGTGTGCCACCACCCCTAGCTCGTTCCTTCCTCCTTCCTGTCTCCCCGCTGCTCGTTGCTGTGGGGTTCATTTCACTCGCTCAGTGCTGCCTCCTCCAGGACACAGTGCTCCGTGGGCTGGGTGCCATGTTGTCCCCCTGTAGCCTCAGCTTCCGGCCCGTGCCGGCCCTGTGGCCCCATAGGCAGACCTGAGCGCATGTGTGTGTGGTGTCTGCTTCTTAGGGAATCGGGGCCGAGGCCGTGAGGCTGGGCTCAGGAGAATACTGGAGAGCAGGAGGCACAGGGCCCTCCATGGGCAAAGGTTCTGGTGCCTGCCTTGCCCGGCCCCTGGGCATCGCCCTGTTTCCTGTGTCCTCATGGTATCTGCAGGGGTTTCCGTTCTTAGCACGGAGGCCTTAGGGTTGCCTGCGGGGACAAGTGCCAGAACAACTTCTGTGGCAAGTGGCAGATGCCAGGCCTAAAGGACGCTGCTTGGGTAGTGGAACCAAAACTCCAGGCAGATCCCTGCACAGCGCGGACCAGACTGTGAGTGTGGTCTGGAAGCTGCCTCCTGCCACGCATGCTCCAGTTTGGTTTTCCCAGCTGGCACAGCTGCCAGACAGCCACCAACCCTTGGTTGCCAGTGAGCCCCCAGGTTCCTGTGCCGCCGGCTAAAGTCCCAGGTTTAATTTGATTGGTTGCTCTGCATCCTGTCCTCAGCTCTGAACCAATCACTGTGTGTAGCCCAAGCGAGGCCATGCTAATTGGCCAGGCCGTGTCACGTGCTCAGCCTGCAGGGGCGGGGCCAGCATCCCTCAAAGCAGCGCGCAGGCGAAGGGGTAAGCGGGGTACAGCAGCGGGAAGGCGGGCAGAGCGACCTCCCCGTCCTCTACAGCGGGCACACACTTCCTTCTCTTAGCACATCCGCTGCAAAGAATCTCAAAAGTGCAAGAGAGTTTAGGTGTCTTTAAGTATATTTATTGGAATGAAGCTTTTTCTTTGAGGTGCTGGGGACTGAACCCAGGGACAGCCCCTTTTTGTTGGTTTGTTTCTTTGAGACACGGTCTCAGGTCTCACCGTGTAGTTCAGGCTGGCTTCAAACTTGAGGCCATCCTTCTGCCTCAGCCTCCTGAGTGCTGGGATCACAGGTGTGCCCGCCCAGACCTTCCTTTATGTTTCATTTTGAGACAGGGTCTCACTAAATTGCCAGATTGACTGGGCTGGGCTTGAACGTATGACCCTCCTGCCTCAGTCTCCCAGAGAGCTCGGATAAAAGGCATGTGCCATGGCTAAAAGCCCTTTTTCAAAAAAAGTTAATTTTATTGGTACCTTTTAGATATACATGACAATCACAGTCATCATAGGGAGTTTGTACCTGCGCGTGATTTATCTCACGGTGGCTGTTCCTCCCGTTCCTCTCCTCTCCCTTCAACCCTTCCCCATGTTTACAAGGCTTTGTTTCCATCTTCCCCTCTATCCTCTTTCTCACCCCTTCTTTCCTTCCCCTCCCCCTCCCTTGTAGAACCCCCTTATTTTAAGTGGGTTCCGCAGACACAGCCGTGCAGAGGACACAAGCCCTGTCACTCGGTGAGGCCCCACATGCCCGCAGCCTGCGGTGGCGCCTGATGCCTCCCGACCCCCCATGCTGATCTGGGGCGCTGGCTGTGCCTGGCTCTGGTCCCGTGATGCGGAGGGGCTCGTGCCCAGGTGCCAGCCGGGTGTCTGGTGGGGCGCACACCCCGATTCCCTCCCCCTCGTTTCTGGAACATTCCTGCCACGCTGCTTGGTGTTCCGGGCACCCGTTCCATCTGCAGATTAAAATCTCCGCGCATGTCCCCTGCAAGGCCTTGAAGACTGCTTGGCTCCAGGGCCCCACACCGGTCTCCGGCTCCCCAAGTCCTGACTTGCCTGGCGGCTCCTCAGCGGCTGCCAGCCCTGGTGATTGAGTCTGCTCAGGTGTGCCAGGGAGCTGTAAACCAATTATCCTTATTGCCGGGCGGGGCCCCCTCGGGTGTCTGCCAACGCACAGGCGGCGTGGGGCATTGTTCAAGAGCTGGCTCGGCTGCCCGGGTGGGGGTGGGGGATGGGCGGTGTCTGTGTTCTCCATCCGGGGCCTTTCCCGAGGTGTTGCGTGGCAGAAAGGGGTCTCTGCGCTTGCTCCCCGCTCCCAGTTCTGATGGGGTGGGGGGTGGGAGGCAGAATCTTCCAAACCGCAGGACTTTGTCCCCGAGGGTGCCTGGCATGACGTCACAGCAGCCCGGGCAGCAGCGACCTGCAATCTGTCTGCTTCCCGTGACATTTCTTGTGTGCGTTTGGGGATTGAATCCAGGGCCTTCACTCTCAGCTACATCCCCAGACCTTTTAAAATTCTGACACAGTGTCATGCCAAGTTGCTAAATTGCCCAGGCTGGGCTCAAACTTACACTCCTCCTGCCTCAGCCTCCCAGACTGCTAGGACCACAGGTGCCCAGCTACAACCCTCTCCCTCTTCCCAGCATCTCCAGGGCAAGGTCTCTGCTGGTGCAAGGAGGACTCGGGGGCCTGGGGCTCCTCAGTCTGTGCTCATCGCTGGGAAAGGGCAGGGTCACCATGGGAGCCTCACAGGCCCAGGGTCTGGCGGAATCCCCAGCTGCCGCTGGTGGCCGTGGGCCACTTCCGGTCATGGGTATGTCACTTCCACGTCCCTTTCGAGGCCTCCCGCCCTCCCAGGGGAGACTCGGGCTTCCCTGGAGTCTGCCAGGCCCCTGCTGTGCCGTCTCGGGGGCGAGCTGGCTGGCTGTACTGTTCTCTTGGTGTCCGTCCCCAGAACACACCACGCCATACCATCCTGCAGACCCATCCATGACGTGGACGTGGCCAGGCCGCTGCGGTGTGGCCGGTGCTCAGGGCGCCTCCCCCGGGCCCAGGCTCCAAGCTGCCTCTGCTTAATGTCCCAGATTCACCTGGGACGCGTGTCTCACCACCCTGCACCAGCCTCCGCTGCCCCCTCTGCCTGCAGTGCTGTCCCCTGGCCTCCTTGCCTGGTGGCGGTCAGCGCCGCTTTTCCTTCCTGTCCCCTGTCCCACCAGGGCCCACGGCCCCTGCTTGCCGGAGCTGGGGTTTGTTGAGCCTGGACCCTTTATGAAACGGGCCAGGGGCTTCTCCCATCTGGTTATTGGTGGTCACATCTTGTTTGGTTTTTTTTGAGAGCGTCTCACTACGCAGTCCAGGCTGGCCTTGAACGCACAATGTAGCCCACGCTGGCCTTGAACTCACTGCGATCCTCCCGCCTCTGCCTCCCGAGTCCGGGGGCTGCAGGCGTGCCCTTGGCTGTGTGTGCATCGTGTCCCGGAACCCTGTGCGGCGTCCTGTCCCTGCCTCCCTGGCACCTGCTCGGGCTACGCAGAGCTGCCATGACCACAGCACCCGCGGCGCCTGCAGCCCCTCCCTCTGCGTTCCAGGTGCGCCCCTCTTCCTCTCCCACCCGCACTTCTACAACGCCGACCCGGTCCTGGCGGAGAGGGTGCTCGGCCTGCACCCCAACGCGGAGGAGCACGCCCTCTTCCTGGACATCCACCCGGTGAGCCCTGCGATGGCACTGAGGCAGGTGGCGGGGGTGGCAGCCACCTCTCACGCCGATGGCGCCCGGGGCCGGTGGCGGGAGCTGGCGCCTCGGACGGTGACAGCTGCTTGACTATCAGGCCGGCCAAGGTCGTCACTTTACCCCAGCTCCACAGTCCAGGGCTTTATCATATGCCCTTTATGAGCACCTATAAAAGGGCCATAAGACAGTAAATTAATTAGGAATTATCAGGCTCCTGCTGATTAGCCAGGCACCCTCGGGCCGCGGCGAGACACGGTGAGGACGGGGAGGAGGCGCTGCGCGTGAGGCGTGGAGGAGTTTGTCCCGTGGGAAGTCCTGCCTCCCAGCAGGCAGGGGGCGGGCGGGACCGGCGTGTGGCCCTCACTCAGCCCCATCCACACCGCTGCTCGCTGTGGGTCCCCGGTGGGACTTGGTGGCTTCGGAGGCAGCGACTCAGACACGCTAGGGGTGCCGTTCTGTTCTCTGGGGACACTTGTGTTCTGCTCCTAAGTTTTCTTGGTCCACATGGCCTAGGGATTGAGCCCAGGCCTTCACACTGAACCCTCGCCCCAGCCTTTTTGTTCTGACAGCATCTCACTGCTGCTAAAGAGTTGCCAGGCTGGGCTCAAACTTGAAATCCCCCTGCCTCAGCCTCCTCAGAATGCTGGGATGACAGGTTTGTGCCAGCCCAGCCAGCTCCCCGTTTGCCCCCCTTTATAAAAAAGAATTTTTGAAATGGAACAATAGAAAGTGCATCTGTTCAGGGCGTGCAGTTCGGTCCTACCACCAGTGCCTTTGCTGTGAAATGTTTCAGCTGAGCTAACGAGCGTATGTGTGATCTCACACGCCCAGCGCTCGGGGTGAGTGCCGCAGACCCCCAGTCCCAGTGATTTCCAGGGGCAGAATCCAGCATCGTTGGTTTGGGTGTGGCAGCCACAGAGCAGGAGGGACGCTGCCCGCCAGGAGGTGGCCTGACCTCAGCGGAGAGAGCTGAGAGGGACATGGACACTTTCCCAGGGAAGGGAGTGCCAGGAGCGGAGCGGGTGGCTGGCGTCACGTGTGCGGTTGGTGCAGATGGCAGAGGCCGCTCCTCAGTTAGGGATGGTGGGCCTGGGGTCAGTGGAGCCTCGGGGTGGGCTGCAGGATCCTAGCTCGGAGCCTCACCCCGTCATCGGGGGAGGCTCAGCACAGCCAGCCTCTGAGCGTGGAGCCGGCCGCCCCCGCAGGGCAGGACTGGGCCTGCCCAGCTGCTCACCGTCCTCTGCCGCAGGTCACCGGGATCCCCATGAACTGCTCCGTGAAGCTGCAGCTCAGCCTGTACATGAAAGCCATCAAGGGCATCGGGTGAGTGGCGCAGGGGCTCCGGCCCCGACTCCGGGGACACAGCCGGAACCAGGCGCGGGCGCTGTCCCTGCCGTCTTGCCCCGAGGACCGGCTCAGCCCTGGCCCCCAACATCCCTCCCAGTACCCTTCTTCCTTCACGTCTGCCATCCCCAAATTAGGCAAAATCTTCTGCCCCACCTGTCTCCCACTCTGCAGTGTGGAAAACTTAAGGCCTGACCAAAGCAAGTGCTTGAAAATGAGAGTTTACTGAATAGCGTTCTTAAGTTCAGCTGTTCACTTTATAGAGCAGTTTTTTAAAGCACCTGATTTTTTTCTTCCTCTGTTTTTAGTTTTTAAAATAACAGGGTTAAACCAGGCATGGTAATGGTTGCCTGTGATCCCAGCACTCGGGAGGCTGAGGCAGGAGGACTCCTGTGAGTTTGAGGCCAGCCTGGGCTGCAGAGTGAGCTCCAGGCCAGCCCGGACTCCACAGCAAGACCCTGTGTCAGTAACAAAACCTAGCTTTCCGGAGCTATAACCCATAGACCATAAGACTCATCTTTTTCTAATGCGCAATGCAGTGATTTTCAGTCTATTCTCAGAGTTGTGCAGCGGACTCCAGAACATTTTCCTCACCCGTAAACGGAACGCAGGGCCCTCGGCAATCCTCTTCCCGCCACTAAGGCTCAGGAGACCCCGGTCTCCTGCCGTCCTCATGGGTGCGCTTGTTCTGGACGTGTCACAGAGTGAGCGGCACTGTGGCCTTTTATGTCTGGTGTCACTCACTTTGCTGTCTTCAACCCTCTGAGCTGCAGCAGGTGTGGGTATTTTTCTTGGCTGTGTAATACCCTACGTGGAGGCCGGCCACGCTTTATGTGTTGATGGATGTTGGGGCGTCGCCACTTTTGTCGCACAGTGGCTTGTGCTGCTGTCACCCTTCACGTGTCGGGGTGGACATGTGCGCTCGTTTCCCTGCCATTGCTAGGAGAGGGGCTGTGGGTCACGGAGTCCTGTTTCAGCGGTGACAGCCACGGAAGCACAGCCACGCCAGCCTTAGATTTTCACAGGCCTGGGGTCAGGACGTGGGCAGCCTGCGGGCTGATTCTAACCGTCACAGCCCCCATGCTGTGGCCTGCGGCCCTCGCTTAGTGCTCATGAGGCCACTGCTCTACCAGCGTGTCTTGTAGAGGACACAAGGGACACAACATGGCTGGGGGACTTGGCCAGGCCAGGCTGCAGGGCTCCCATCGCAGGGAACTGTGTTCAAGTTGTGTCGAGTAGGCGCTACAGGGGCTGCAGTGAGGACCTGGGGCCCCACCCCACCCTGGACCCCTGGAGTAGTCATGAGCACCCTGGTGAAACCAGGTTTTAAATCTTCGAGAAGCCAGGTGTGGTGGCACAGCCTATAATCCCAGCACTTGGGAGGCTGAGGCAGGAGGATTGTTTCGAGTTCGAGACCAGCCTGGGCTACAAAGTGAGCTCAAGGCCAGCCTGAACTGTGTAGCGAGACCCTGTCTCTAAAAGAAAAAAAAAAAAAAAAGAAGAAGATGATGTTAGGAGGCGGACAGGCAGAGAGTAGCACAGCCACTCCCCCAGCATATTCACCGTCCAGGGTCCTCCCATCTGTCTGCTCCATTTTCCTAGCCCGAGGTTGCTATGCTGGAGGTCATTTCTGGCTTAAATGGCTGCCAGAGGTCCAGATATTGCATCTGCATCCCGGGCTGCTGGAAGGAAGAAGGGAAAAAGTGTGCTGGACTTGCTGGCACACACCTATAATCCCAGCATTCAGAAGGCTGAGGCAGGAGGACTGCCACAAGTTTAAGGCCAACCTGGGCTACACAGGAGGCCCTGTTTCAAGAAACAATAAAAACAGAAAAGGAAAAGTGTTCACCCCTTGGCTGTCCGACACACGCTACATATGCTTGTGCCACCATTTCATGAACTGGAGCTGCCGACACCCCCCGGGCCCCAGCCCAAGCTCGCACAGCCCCGAGGCTGCACATGCCGCGCCCTGCAGACCCCGGGGCGTGTGCGCGAGTGCCGCAACCAGGCGCAGCTCTCACCGCGGGTGTCTCGCTTGCTTGCAGGCAAACAGGGAAGATCCAGCCGGTGGTCCTGCCGCTGCTGTGGTTTGCGCAGGTGAGGCGCGTGGGCTGCAGTGGCGGGAGCCCGGGAGGAGCCCGAGTGCAGCCGAGGCAGGGCCCTCAGGAATGGTTTCGTTAGTGCTGTGACGCTGTTTGCAGAGGAAGTCCCGGGTAGCTGGTCTGCTTTTCCCTCGAACCTGACCTTGAGCAGCAAGTTTTCCCTCTGGCCCGCCCCCTACCCCGTTTGGTTTTTTTTTTTTGTTCTTGCTAAATTGTTGATGGGACTTGAATTTGCGATCCTTCTGCCTCAGCCTCCCAGAGTGCTGGGATGACAGGCCTAGCTTTTTACTTTTATTTTTTTGCTGTTGTTTCCATGTAGTACGTTGTTATTTCTGGTCCACCTAGACTCAAATCAGCGTTTGCTAAGGCCAGGACATGCAGCTGCGAGGGTGAAGTTCACTGTGCTCACAGTCCTGTCTGAGGGTTTGCGGGAGGCGGAACCCGTTCCACCCAGTCCTTCAGGGCCCTAGACGCTTTCCGTTGCGTGGCTCCGCCCCCGGAAAGGTCTTCAGACTGCTTCCGTTCATTGGTTGGGAAAAAAGATGAAGGTCACGTGGAGAGAGTCAGTGGCCTAGATTCACCCCTCATTGGCCAGAGCGTGATCACATGGTCGCGTGCAACTGCAAGGGAGTCTGGGAAATGTAGTCCCATGGTGTGCCTCGTAGGAAGCAGATTGCTTGGTCCAGGGAGCCCGAAATGAAGAGGGGATCGGGACGGAGGGGCGTGGCACCTGCGTCCCGGTCCCAGCTCTTTGTCATTCTGCCTCCCCAGAGCGGGGCCATGGAGGGCGAGCCGCTCCGCACGTTCTACAGGCAGCTGGTGCTGACCCCTAACATCCTCTACTACACTCAGTACGTGCTGCTGGCGCTGGGCAGCGCGCTGCTGCTCATCCCGGTCGTCTACCAGGTCTGCAGACAGGTAGGTGGCCCGGCCGGGGCGGGCGAGATCGGGCTCAGACTTTCCTCCTGCAGCTTCGCACCTGTCTCATCTGCGTTTCCATCGCTGCCCGTTCCGGAAGGCCTGGGGTGCTCCCCGGCGTGTGCAGGGGGCTTGGGTGGCGACCCCCAGTGCCGGAGGTCATCAGTTAGCGCCGTGGGTGCAAGACCTGCAGACGGGAGGGCCCTGCCAAGGCGGAGGGCGCAGGCAGCCGCGAAATCCAGGGACCTAGCAGAAGGTGATTTTACCCAAAGTAAAGCTGATAGGAAGCTCCACGGGCTGGAGCCGGCGCTGTGCAGGAGCACAGTATGGGACCTGAGATTTCCTGGTGAAATTAATTTTAATGACTAGCTTTATTCAACGCAAATATGACCAGAATATTATCACTGCAACATGTAATTGATATAAATACTATTTTTGCTATTCTTTTCCTTGCAAATCAGGTCTTTGAAATCCATTGTGCATTTTACCCTCACAGCAGGTCTCCATTCAGACTCACCCCGTTTCCAGGGCTTCACTGCCCTGTGGCTTCCAGACTGGACAGCACCTGTCCAGGGGACTTGGGGACAAGTATAGACAAGTCACAAAGGCCTCTCTGAATCCAGGCTTAGGTGTGGATGTTAGGGAAGGAGGCCACCTGCCTATGCAAAGGCCCTGGGGCAGGGACCCTGAGGATCAGGCTGGGCCAAGGTGGCTGAGGAGGCGAGGCCCACAAGGCAAGGTAAGGGGCGTGGCACCGATTTCCACAGTGACCAGAGGCTGCCGGAGGCCTTAAGGGGAGGAGCAGCTAGATGGCTGCCTGGCACTTGAGGCCTAGGTTGGAAGAGGTGGAGGCAGGGAGCTTAGGGGGCAGCTGGGTGTCTCAGAACAGGGTGGCAGCTTATCCCAGGCACAAGCACCGAGGAGCAGGCCTGCCCTGGGCGTCCAGACGGGGGACAACAGATCGCCCTGCTCTCGCCGTTGTCTGCAGTAGGGAACTGAGCGGGCAGTGAGGGCCGGAGACGAGCACCTTGCACGCCAAGTTTACACAGGTCGCTGCAGTCACAAGGTGATCAGGAGGGTGCGGTCACAGGGCGCAGGCAGAGGAGGCAGGGCCGCTGCCCCGGGCGCAGTCTGGAAGGCCGCTTTGGAATGGTGTGCTAGGAGCCACTGCTCAGGGCCGGCTGGAAGGGGCCGCGGCCTTCCCGGGGCCAGGCTGTCCCTCACCGCTGCTCGGAGGACACCTTCTGCCCTGCTTTCCCGCTTCAGCGAGGAGCCGGTTTCCCGCCCGTCCCTCTGAGCACGCTGTACGCGTGCATGCTTGCTGCGGGCTGGTGGACCTCGACACCGTTCTGAACCCCCAACCTGGGGGCTGTGGCTGGGGGGCCGCCAGCTCTGGTCACGTCGCTGCTGGCATCACTGAATGCTCACGGGCTGGTTCTGAACCCTTTCGCTGCTGGGCAGGAAGCTGCGGGCTCGGCCTGGCTGGACTCCAGCCGCAGAGGGCCGCCCGCCCGACCCTCTCCGTGCGCTGTACCACTCAGCTCCGCCCGGGCCTCGTACAATTCTCCTTAGAGACAGGCTCTTGCTGTGCTGCCCAGGCTGGTCTCAGACTTGCTGTCCTCCCAACTCAGCCTCCTGAGGAGCTAGAGTTACAGGTGTGTGACACCTCCACCAGCTCCAGCGTCTCCTGACTGGATTGGGCGGGCAGGGCAGAAGTGGCCAGAAGCTAGGTATGGTGGCACACACCTGTAATCCCGCACTCTGGGAGGCTGAGGCAGGAGGATCACAAGTCCAAGCCAAGCCCGGGTAACTGAGTGATTTGGTGAGGCCCTGTCTGAGGGGGAAAAAAGGAGATCACAGGCCAGGCTCCCAGCCTAGGCTGGGCCAGAGCGGGAGGCAAATCTGCTTTGTCCCCTCCCAGCCCCTCATCAGAAGCAGAGGCGCCGCCTCACCCCAGATCCTGGCCTTGGGCTCCCCAGACGCTGTCGGCTCCTGCCGCGCAGGGAGACCCTGTCCTGCTGTGTCACTGAGGCCCGGTGATTGGCATGTGTCCCGTTCTGTATGTTTGCCTGGTCAATATTTTCAATTTCTTCTCAAAGCAATTTTTATTGTGAGTTCCTTTTTAGTAAACAAAACTCAAAAGTATTTTAGGGGGGGAAAAATTCCACGCCCAGTCGATGAAAATGCCCCGATTACAGTCCCCGCCGGGCCCAGCCGCGGCTCAGTGGCAGAGCACAAGCACAGCGCGTACGCACCCTGGCACCCGTCCCCAGCACTGTGCTGCCCGCCGCCGTGCCCACCTTCTTCCGGCCCGAGGGTCCCGTCTCCTGTCCCGGCCACCTGGTCCCAGCAGCTTTGTCCTGAGGGGCTGTGGGCGCCGGGATCCGCACCCCGCTGTCCCCTCTCTGCCTCTGGAAATGGAAGAACCCTGTGCCCCCGCGTGCCCGCGCCCTGGTGCTCTAAACGGGCTTGGTTGTCTTCCAGGAGAAGTGCTATTTATTTTGGAGTGGTAGTAAAAAGGGCTCAGGCGCTAAGGCAGCCATGCAGGCCTACTCTGAATCCCTGATGACGTCCGCTCCCAAGGGTGCCGTGCTGCAGGAGGCCCGGCTGTAGGTGGGTACCAGGTAACCGCCCTCTCGTCCTCCCGCGGCCGCTGGTCCCCGCGGTGACCACTCGCTGCTCGGGGCTCTGTCATCAGTTCCCAGGGAGTGCAGTGCTTTGATCCCTGGGCCACTCAGGGGTGCTGGGCTCTGTCCGTTTGCAAGATCAGCTTAGAAGGGCAGGGCCAAGCCCAGACCTCACGCCTGTGCGGTAGACCCTGCAGGAAGCTTCCCAGAGCTCGGCTCCTGAGACGGACTCCTGGGAGCCCAAGAGTCTCTGGGGCTTGGGTGATGGATGAAACCTGGGCTTTCTCGCAGAGCTCTACCCCAGCCCTTTGCATTTTTATTTTGAGGCAGGGTCTCACTAAAGTATTCAAGTTGGGCTCAAACTTGGATCCTCCTGCCTCAGCCTCCCCAGTGGGAATCTGCTTTTTCATAGACCCCTATGGATTCTGGTACAAAAGGTCCAGGGAGCTGAGCATGGTGACACGTGCTCATAATCCCAGCATGCAGGAGGCTGAGGCAGGAGGATCACTGTGAGTTCAAGGCCAGCTTGAACTGCATGCCGAAACTCTGTCTCAAAACAAATTGAAACAAAACCAAAACCAAACAAAAGGTCCAGGGACCCCTGTTTGAGAAACTTTGGCTTAAATCCAGGAGGGCTGACTGAGCCCAGGGTGCAGGTGTCCGCTGAGCGGGGACTGTCGGGTTTCTGGGCGGAGTGCACACAGAATGGAACCACATGTCCAGTAAACCTGCATCTCAGGTACACACGACTGACGTCGCTGCCATGGGCCTGGAGGCATGGGCGCCTCGCACCTGCCCCGGGTAGCATGTCCTTGGCACTCGGTGGCCATGGGTCTCCTGAGTCCAGACGGGGTCGGGGGTGGGAGGCTGGGGCCCGGGCTGCCCCTCCATGGACATAACCGGATGTCCGGCCCCCACCCCTGGTCTTGATGGGTCCAGTTTGGAGGTGGCCAGGGAAGCGTCTGACCCCACCCTGGGCCCGGTCCTGTGGAATAGAGGGACACAGTGTCCTCAGTGGATGGCTTCAGTTTGGGGGGCCGAGCACGTGGCAGCTGACCCTGCGGGGGGCCTCTAACCCCGGGAGGCTCGCTCCTTGCTCTGCACCTGCCTGTGGGGGTGGCCCAGGGGCAGCTTTGCTTGGGAGAAAGGGGGAGCAGGGCCTCTGCTAGCTCAGAAGGGGATTTCCTTATGAATAAGAAAGGACAGCACCTGCCGGGCAGACAAGGCTTGCTGTAGGGCAGAGGGCCCCGCAGGCAGTGTGTCTGTTGGCCGGTCTTGTGCAGTGAACAGCCTGGGCAGCTGTACAGGGCAGCCCTTCAGGGAAATAGGCCTGGAGCTTTGATTTTAGTCTCACGCCAAGTCCTCTTCTGTCAGTTGAGCAGAAGTGGGAGGGAGGAGGAGGAACCGGCTTCAGTTGTGGCTGCTGTGGGCTTTGTCACGTGTGTATGTGTGTGGGGGATTAGTTTCCCTTTTCCTCTGAGTGAGACTTTGTCCCGAGGGCCCCAGAGCACCCCATGGGGGCTGTGGGGCAGGCGGTGACAGCGCAGGAAGCCCTGGGTCCGTCCCCTGCCATTTCCCAACCTCCCCGGCTTGGGGTTTCCCGGGACAGCGCGGGGCGAGGAGGGCGCAGCGGGTGGGGACCAGGAGCTGCCCGCCCTGCTATCTCTGCTCCTCCTCGGTGTTTTAAGTGGTGAGACTTTCACAGTATGAAACTGACGCACAGCCCCTCTGTCCCTCGTCTGTCCCTTCCGGCCCTCCCTGCGCCCTCCCCGCTCTACCACCACCAGGAGCGCAGTGTCTCCTCCAGTTCTGTTGGGACGTTGGTCCCGCTCCGCACCACCCCGTGACTGTGGTCTAAGAACACATGACTACTGGGCGTGGTGGCACATGCCTCTAATCCCAGCACTGGGGAGGCTGAGGCAGGAGGATCACTGCAAGTTTGAGGCCAGCCTGGGCTCCATGGTGAGCTCGAGGCCAGCCTGAACTGCATCGTGAGACCCTGTCTCAAAAAACAAAAACAAAAACAAAAAAAGAACACGTCCCCTCTCCATGGACATTGAGGTCTTTTCCTGGTGTAGACAGAGCCCCCTGCCCTGCCAGCCCTGGGCTCCGGGCTCCGGGCTCCGTCCTGCTCACCGGGTCAGGCAAGTCTCTCTGGGCCTCGGTTTCCCCATGTCTAGGAGGGGTGGGGATGGGCTCAGGGGCGTCCAGTGAGCTGGGCTGTGGTGCTCCTCTGTGGGACTGGACGGACTTTCCGCAGCAGGGACCTGGGCTGGGCCAGGCGGCCGGGTGGCGGTGGTGACCCTGCTCCTCTCCCCACAGGGTCCCAAGGACGCCCTGGGCCAGCAAGGCCAGTCCACCTGGTCGGAGCAGCCGCCCAGCCCCTGCACGCCCCTGCTGCAGGAGCCGCTGCCCCCGCAGCCCGCGGCCCGCGCCTGAGCCCACTGCACCCAGCCTGCCCGCGCGGGCCGAGCCGGGGACACTCAGGGACGGAGCCGCACCCGGGGCCCAGAAGAGGCTGGCGACGCGCGCTGCTCTGGAAGCTTCTCCCAGCGGCCACAGCGGCCTGGGCGCCATGTCCCCTCCCTCGGGCACGCCCAGCCCAGCCCATGTCACCAGCCCTTGACAGCTCTTGTTCCCGGTCCCTCCTGTCCTGCAGCACACATGCAGCCCCACTGGCCACCTTCTGCACGGGACGGGCCACCGCACTGGGCCAGGCCGCGCCTCCGTGCCAAAGCAGGGCTGTGGGGCTCAGGACGTGAGGGGACCAGGTGCCCTCAGCGGCTGCCCTCGCCCCACCGTGGGCGCCGGGGTCCAGAGGAGCGCACAGCCCAGGCCGGAGTCCGGGTCCTTTTCCCCGGCCACCGACCACATCCTGTGTACTGAGCCGCCCCCAGCTCGCCGGGGCCGAGGGAGGGGCTGGGGCCTGGCCTGGTGGTCCCTGGGCATCTCTAGGGAGGGGGGCCCTCTGCCCGGCTCCTGGCTCCTGGACGAGCCCCCATGTCTTTTCTACCAGAAGAGAAAGGAGTTTTACCATCTTACAACAAGCTCACCATGAAAGCAATAAACCTTTTACAGAACCGGGCGTGTGTCCATGCCATGTCTCCCGTCCCCCTCCCGGGCACAGCTGCCCTTTGGGTGGGGTTTGCCGCCCAGGCCGCGTGCCTATGGTGTCAGGACAGCATGTTGCCCTCTGAGCTGGTCCCAGGGGGCCCGAGCACCCTCCCAAGGTCTCTGCGTGACGGATGCCTTTCCTGGTCCTGTCCCTGGAAGAACAGGCCTGGCCATGTAGTATTAGCACACTGGGAGGCTGAGGCAGGAGGATTGCAGGTTGGAGCACTGCCTGGGCAGTTTAGCGACTGGACAGACCCTGACTCAGAAAATAAAAAGGGCCCAGGCATGGAGCTCAGAGCAAAGGCCCTGGTTTCCATTCCCGGGATTATTTCTTTTTTTTTTTTTTCGTCTGAAGTTCAAATAGTTGTAAAGGCTGACACCCCCAACCCCCATTTCATCCCTGCTGAATGTGCTGAGAAAAACCAGCCCCTAAAACCACACGACAGGTTTCCCCACGGCCAGTGTTCTGCCGTGCCCCTCCTGTGTCTCCTTCCTTCTTGCCCGGGGATGTACCTGAAGGTTTTATATCGCGTGCATTACTGCATTTTATTAACCGCTCAGGTTGCTTTCTCAACAACCTAAATAGCTGTATAAGGTACAGTGGACATTTTTATTATTTCTTTTAATTGTTAAGGAGATATATATATGTATATATATTTGGGTTTGTTTGTTTTGAGATAGGGTCTCACTATGTAGGTCAGGCTGGCCTCATACAGTGATCCTCCTGCCTCAGCCTCCCAAGTGCTTTTTTTTTTTTTTTGAGACAGGTCTCATTCAAGTTCAGGCTGGCCCTGAACTCCTGGGCTCAAGAGGTCCTCCTGCCTCGGCTTCCCATGTGCATAGCTGGGTGTGTGACATAGTGCCTGCCCCACACAGCTGTGGCTGTCATCTTTTGGCCTGGTGTCATGTCTTTGGCCTTGTGCTGCCACAGTGGGACTCCCCAGCCCAGGGGACCTGGACCACACACAGCCCTGACCATCACGGAGGCATGCATCTAGAACAGCGGCCAGTGGCGCGGGGTCTGAGTGTCCGACGCCAGCAGAAGGGCCCCACGGGGCCTCAAGGGGGCTCTTGTTCAGAAGCTCCACCCAGCAGAATCCCCTAGAGGTTCAAACTCATGTGTGCCCCCTGGGCCCCGCTGGCTGACCTGAGCCTCCGTGTCCAGGCACAAGCAGCTCTGTAGATTTCCCTCTGCACACAGTGGGGTTGGGGTTGAGACTGTGCCCTTAGTGGGGCTGGAGTGGCCTCCACACGTGGGCTGCAGCCCAGGCCCTGGCCCGCCCCTGGTTCGATTGTCTGGGCTCCTGCAGGGGTGCCTGGCCCTGCGTCCCCTGGGCAGTTCTTCAAGTGTGCGGAGGGTGCCTGAGGGACGCCAGCACCTGGCCACCCGGTATTGCCTGGCTTGGGTCCTCAGTCAGGCCAGCATCGGGAGGTGTGGGCTGAGGACCCCTTTTCTTTTCAGACGGGGAGGGTATGGTGAAATCAGTTTCCCAGGCTGAACTTGAAATTGTGATCCTCCTGCCTCAGCCTCCCAGAGAGCTGGGATTACAGGCCTGTGCCACCATGTCCTATGTGAGGGCAAAGTCCCCCTTGGGTCCCTCCTCTCCCCGGGAGGGCGGGGCTCTGGGAGTTCCCGGAGCGGCCACTGGGGGGCGAACTCTGCACGCAGGTTGCTGGAGTCAGGGCTCCCTGGTCCCCAGCCATTGTTCCCATCCAACTTGGGGGGTCATTCCCCAAGGTCCACAGCTTGGCTTAGGAGCTGTCACTCTAGAATTTTTTTTTTTTTTTTTTTTTTTTTTTGTCTTTTTGT